CGGTCAGGAAAAGCTGAAGATAGCTCGGGCCCCGCCAGGTGGGGGGCGCTCCCAGAGGAAGCAGGGTTGTCCAGTTGTCCAGGTGGGGGGCCTGAGCTGGCACCACCTGATTATCCAGAAGCACATGTGCTGGTTTAGGTCTGTCAATAGAAACAGCCTCCTGCTGACCCCCAAAATCCAAAAGGAAATGCTTCCGGCCTGGTTGAATAACCCTAAAGGGGCCGTCATACAGTGGACGCAGCGGAGGCCTATGAGTGTCATGCCTGACAAAAACAAACTGCGAAGAGTCCAACGACCTCGGAACAAAGGTGTCAGGCAGACAATGGTGCACTGGGCCAGGAAGAGAAAACGAGTCTCTTGGGGGACGGAGAGACAGCACAGAGGGAGCGAAGCACGGGGGTGGGCTCTCAGGAAAGAATTCCCGGAGGGGCTGACCGAGGACAAGTTCAGCCGGGGAAACCCCGAGGTCTTCTTTAACCGTGCAGCGCAACCCCAGTAAAACCCATGGAAGGCGGTCAACCCAGTTGCCATCTGTGAGAGAAGCACGGAACGCGGCCTTAAGCGACCGGTGGAAACGTTCGCACATCCCGTTGGCCTGCGGGTGGTACTCAGTGGTCCGGTGGACCTTGACCCCCAGGCCGTCAGCCATGGCAGACCAAAGCTCGGAAACGAACTGGGGGCCTCTGTCTGAGGTGATGTCGGCGGGGGGACCGAAACGCGAAACCCACGTTGACAAAAATGCCCTGGCCACTGCTGCTGCTGTAGTGGATGCCAGAGGCACTGCCTCGGGCCAGCAGGTTGTGCGGTCCACTACAGTCAAAAGGTGTGTGAAACCTTGTGACTGCGGCAGAGGACCAACCAGATCCACATGTACATGATCAAAACGCCTCCCTGGAACGCGGAAGGATTCGAGGGGCGCCTGTGTGTGCCTATGGATCTTAGCACGTTGGCATGGGATGCACGCGGCAGCCCAGTCTTTCACCGATTTACGAAGGCCCGGCCAAACAAACATAGAGCTGACCAGCTTGACCGAGGCCCGGACACCTGGATGAGAGAGGGCGTGTACGGAGTCGAAAACGCGACGACGCCACGAAAGGGGAACTACAGGGCGTGGACGGCTGGTGGAAACGTCACAGAGCAGGCTAGGCCCGCCGTTCCACACAGGTCTGTTTGCGCAGACCGAAGGGAAAGGACGTCTGGGTCGGCCTGTTGGTCAGCGGCCATAGTCTCAAAGTCAATGCCAACATAAACGGGAGAAACCAGCACGCGGGATAGACAGTCAACGCAGTTGGACTTACCAGCCACGTGCTGAATGTCAATTGTGAACTTGGAAATGGCTGCCAACTGGCGCTGCTGGCGCCCGCTCCACGGATCAGAGACCTTGGACATCGCAAATGTCAAGGGTTTATGATCGATGTACACGGTGAAGCTCCAACCCTCGAGAAAAAAACAAAAATGCCGCATCGCGAGGTGCAGGGCCAGCAACTCCCTGTCAAAAACGCTATATTTGCGCTCACTGTCCCTAAGCGTGGGACTAAAAAAAGCGAGCGGTTGCCAGACACCGGAGACCCGCTGTTCTAACACTGCGCCCACCGCCACGTCCAACACGTCGGAGGTCAACGCAATCTCCGCTGACGGAAACGGGTGAGCCAGCAGGGCGGCGTGAGCCAGCAGGGCGGCGTGAGCCAGCAGGGCGGCGTGAGCCAGCAGGGCGGCGTTAGCCAGCGCGGTCTTGGCCCCAGAAAATGCCTGGATGCATTCAGGGAGCCAATCAATCAGGTCCTTAGTTCTTTTACCCTTCAAGGCAGCAAGAGAGGCTGCAGCAGGTGCGCAGCTCTGGGGAGAAAGCGGTTGTAGAAATTGAACTTCTGCAGCGCTTTAATGGACGCGGGACGCGGAAAAGCCGAGACAGCCCGAACCTTGTCTGGCAACAGAACCACACCATCAGCAGAAATGCGGTGGCCCAACAAATCCAGAACCGGCAAGCCGAACTGGCACTTGGAGGGGTTGACGATCAGGCCGTGTGCCGCCAAGCGCTGGAAAACCTGATGTACATGGGATGCGTGCTGACTCTCAGAACAGCTGGCCACCAATATATCGTCAAGGTACACGAAGACGAAAGGCAGCCCGCGCAAGACAGAGTCCATCAACCGCTGAAAAGTCTGGGCGGCGCCTTTCAGGCCGAATGGCATGCGCAAAAATTCAAACAGGCCGAAAGGGATAATAACGGCAGTTTTGGGGATGTCTTCGGCGCATGCGGGAACCTGGTGATACCCCCGCACCAAGTCAATTTTAGAAAAAATCGAGGTGCCGGCGAGGTGGGCGGAAAAATCCTGGATGTGGGGAATGGGGTAACGGTTGTTCTCCGTGACATTATTCAAACGGCGAAAATCCCCACACGGCTGCCACTGACCGTCTGACTTGGGCACCATGTGTAGCGGAGAAGCCCAGGCACTATTCGAGCGCTGCACTATGCCGAGGCGCTCCATTGCGGCAAACTCTTCCCGAGCGACGGAGAGTTTCGCGGGGTTGAGGCGGCGCGCGCGTGCGAACACCGGGGGACCGACCGTCGGTATATAATGTTCAACCCCATGCTTCGTTGCCATGTTCGAGAAATTAGGAACAGTCAGTGAAGGGAACTCCAAGAGCAAACGCTGAAAAACATTCCCTGAAGTCACTAAATTAGCCCGATTCAGGGGCTCGATGGTGTGAGTGAAACAGGGTATTGAACAAAAAGACAGGGCATCGATTAAGCGTCTGTTAGCGACATCGACCAGCAGTGGAAAGTGCGGGTAGCCAGGAGAATACGATCCGCGTCCTCAGCCAGGGAGCGATAATCCTTCGTGCCCAGAAGCGGAGAGTTAGCGAAGCTGGCTCTTACGGCCGCCGGCAGCTGTCGGAGGAAGATGTGGACAAAGAGGAATCCCCCGTCGTCCGGTCCAAGAAAGGATAGCATGTGCTCCATCAGTTCGAGAGCCATACCGCCACCCAGACCTGAGAGGGAGAGGAGCTTCTCGGTTCGCTCTGCGTCGGAGAGGGCATAGCGTCGAAGAAGCAGCTCCTTAAGGGCAGCGTACTTCCCTTGGGTGGGTGGGTCCCGGAGGAGAGTCAATGCACGACGGGTGGCTAGAGGGTCGAAAGAAGCCACCACATGGTGATATTTCGTGTCGTCAGCCGAGATGCCACGAAGGGCGAACTGAGCCTTCACGTGCACGAACCACGACGGGGGATCGTGAAGCCAAAAGTCCAGCAGCTCGAGCACTACAGCAAAAGTAGCTGCACCCGGAGGCAGAGGGCTGCTGATGCATCCAGAGCAGAGTCAGTGCCACCATCGGACTGCAGCATGTTCGAGTCAGGGGTCACCAATGTGGAGGTAAACACAGACGACATGAGAGCTCTCGATTAACACTGCTTGTTTATTACTCTTCACCACACAACTGAATACTTTTCCCTCCAAAACACAGCAACAACACTTCCTGAGAACTGGGTGTGAGTGGAGCCCTCCAGTGGTCCGCCACAACAGTTACTTTGTAGAAATAAATGGAGTACACGGCGGTACTTTCCTGTTTCATATTGTGGCGGGTCAGGACTGTTTCGGTTTTGTTTGACAGTAGTTCCAGGCGGCAGCGTTGCGGTTGCCATGGTTACAGGGTGACGCTCTCACTCTGCGTGTTTCCTGGGTGAGAGAGCGCCTTTTTTGTTGTTGTTGTTGTGCTAAGCTAATAAGCAGAATGCAGAATGTAGCATCATGGGCAGTGTAGTCCGTGCTGCAGGGAGAATGGACTGCCATACTCGTTATGTGTCTGTGAACGGGAGGTGGGAGAAAAAGGAGAGTCGAAAAGTACGAGTTGTCATCGAGCAAAAACGGGAGCTGGAAGCATGTAAATATAATAATAACCACTGCAGCCAAGAAGAGTGCCTGACGAGCCCAGTTGTAAGTAAGCTATTAAAACTCGACTGTATGCTGTGTTCGTGTTTTCCTCCGAAACAATAAGTTCCGTTGGAGCAGCCTTTCAACCCCTCTCTCTGTCTCTCGCAAGCAGAGTTGACTCATACAACAAAGTAAAGCTATTTTTCGGCTACGAGCCCGACACGAACCCGTATTAGTCAGAGGTCCCTTTACTACGGTTCGGAGCCACGGACCTTCAGTAACAGTAATAAATCACACAGCAATAGTACATTCATGTAGTTGTAAAATGCATGATAATATGTTAAGTAATCCAAAGTATTCAGAATATGTTACTCTCATTGAGTAACACATTTTAGGGCATGTATTCTGTAATGGAATACATTTTAAAAGTAACCTTCCCAACACTGGAGAGACGAGACGACGAAGCTCCAGTTACATCAGTGCAAGTAAACAAACAATAAATATAAGAACAGTAAGAAAATAAATATACACTTTAGGACTAGAGGTAAAGGGATCAATAACAATTTAAAATTTATATTTTATATTTTGATGATTTAAAGTCTCACACACAACCCGTGGAAAGGGGAGGGAGACCTGCTGCTTCCAAATAGAGCACATTTCATTCATAATGTTGTAAATTCAAGCCCATTATGTATTCGTGATTTGAATCCTGGGTTCAACGCCATCAGGTCCTCAGTTTAGAAAAAAGAGAAAAGAGGAGGAGGAGAAATGGGCAAAAGATACAGGTAAGCAGATGTGTCATTGGATAATGGCAGGTCATCCTGAAACAATCAGAATCAGAATCAGAATACTTTATTAATCCCTAAGGAAATTATGTGGGTTACAGTTGCTCCAAGAAGAAATTGTAAAAATATTATCAGTAACAAACTAAACTCCACATACATTATGTTACAGATTTTAATATTAATTAGAATAGAATAGAATAGAATTCAACTTTATTGTCATTGCACATGCACAGGTACAGGGCATCGAAATGCAGTTTGCATCCATCCAGAAGTGCTTTAGTGATATAGATATATTACAATATATATTAGCAATAATATAGATATGTAAGTATATTACAGAAATGGGTCTATTATGGTGTGTTATAATGTACACGGTATGAGGTATGTTGTGAATATTCTATAACTATAAGTATGTACAGGCTGTAGTGAGTACAAGCTATGTACAGGATATGAACAGGATATAAATATGAAAAACTATACAGAATATGAAATAAATAACTTTACAGAAATCTGAGATATACAGCTATACAGAAATGGGAACTATGCAAGTTGTAAACAGTTGTAGGATTAAAAATTATCGAATGTACAGAATGATTATTTACACAGAGCTATACAGTACTGCAGTTAAGATAAGTGAGATATAATTCCTACAGAGGCTATATAAAGTGCTAGTGGTTGTGAGTGGTGGTTCAGTCCATGTTATTATTGTGTGTTTGAGGGTACAGTAGTCATTGTCAATTGTTGATTTGTCCTGTTCTCATTGTATGACGAATTATGATGGCTGTTTGGTAGCTGTTTACTCTCTCTCTCTCTTCATATCTGTATGTTTCTCTTGTGAAATTCAGTATGGTTCTGACAAAAGTTCATTGTTAATGTACAATCCTGTGTATGTGTGTGTGTGTGTTGGTGGTGGGTGTGTGGGGGGTGGGGGGGGGGGGGGGGGGGGCGCCCACTCACATAGTGGGTCATTTGACCTCAGTAAATCACATGATAAGGTGGGTCTAGGCTTCACAATGGGTTCACCCGAAACCGTGGCTGATTGTGACTCACACCCGTTTTCATACCTTAGCTCGTGTGATTAGATACAGGATCAACAGGGGGTCCATGACCCTCTTGGGGAAACTCCCATAGGGCTTAAAATTTGGGACTCTCCACCAATTGCTCTTAGAACTGAAGAAGCTTCTCGGATGAGAGGTGAAACGCCTACAAGGAAACTTGAACAACATTTCAACATTGTTAAACACACTCAAAATCTTTTAGTTCTCTCTTATACAAGACTGAAGACTTGGGGGAACAGCCTTTCAGTCTGTGGGCTCTGGAAAAGTTTACCACTCCAGCTCCATTTAACTGAGTCTGTGGACTCTTTAAAAAAAACTGTTGTACATTTTTCTGGCCTTAATCAGGCCTTCAGCTGATATTCTGTTGTTATTTATATATTTCTTTATTTTATTTTTCTGGTTTAATATAGTTAATAGATTAACATTGTGATTTGTGAATTTTATTGTGACCTTTATGTCTGTGAAAAGTGCTATATAAATGAACTTTATTTACATTACTTTATATTGAATGGTAAAAAATGCTATTGAGAAAAGTGCAAGAAAAAATCTGGAGATAGAAATGAACACAGTGGGTCCTCTTTAATTGTTTTCAGTCATTTGTATTCTTGGAATTTGTTGGTGGAGTTAAATAGAACCTAGTACAGAAAATGAAACTTGCTCACATGTCCTTTGTCTGCTACATATGACTTAGGGAACATCTTGGATTTTTGATACAGTCATTTTCTCATGTTGAAAGAAAATATTTTTGTGTATTTAGGAAACCTACTTCAACCATATGTAGATTATGTAAGTTTGAATATTTCTGCAGCAGATGGCTCCGTTTAGGTTTCCAGCCAGACCATCAGTGCTCTAAAAGAGGAAATACTAGAAAGCAGGGGAGACGCAAATGATGAGAACAGAAAAAGACGACGTGGGGAGAAGAGAGAGGTGGAAAATAATAGGGATTTGAGGGCAGCAGACAAGTAAAGATGAGAGATGAATGAGGGAAGTAAGAAAAGCAGACAGCAGGGAGAGCTAATGTGTCCCCCAGGCATTACGTTACAACATCTGGTTTGTTACTCTAAGCTTCTCAGACAGACTGAGAAATACAGCCAAAGTACTTGCAGGAATAACCTTGTTGTGGTTGTGGTGTGGTAATGGAGACAAGACAAAAATAACAAGCAGCTTAGGTAGCTTATGAAAATAAAGATCTTTGAAGAACAGACTGAAAATAAGAAATTGTTGGAAGCAAGAGGATGTTAAATCACACATCAATCACTCGGAAAGGAAAATAACTTTGTTTGCCGTGTCTGTCTACAGCCAAAGGCAGAGAAGTATAAATGAGGCAGAAAGACAGAAATAGCTTGAAAAGTAGTTCTTGAACTAATCTGCAAAGATTTCACTTTACAAAGACTCTTACTTCTGTGCCAAAACAATTGTTTGCATAATGATAGCCTAAGTCACCTTTCCTCTAAGCCCAGTCAGAGCAGCAAATGCCTGCTGAGTGCTTTCTAAATAGACATCCTGCTCCATGAGCCCAGACATACAGACCACAGAGTCACACGGTTGAAGTTTGAATGTGACTCACATCCTCCATCATGTCACTTCTTTGCTTTTCCTGGAGGTCCTGCAGGTCTTGGATCACGTTACACGAAGTAGGTTAATGTAAGTAATCTTGTGATGTGATAGCGATAAATGGCAAAAGGTGACATCCACATATATTCTCTGCTTATTTGTGTGTCTCATCACGATACATCTGCTTTATTAGTCTGTGGTCATTTTCTCAAAAAAATTCTTCATTCTTCACTTCTTCATGCTCAGCTTAAGTTGTTGTTTTTCTACAGGAAATCCTCTGGGTCTGGAGTTATAGAATGACTGTTTATCATTAGCAACTTTGGACTACTGCAGAATAC